GCTCTTGCTCAGGCTGGTTTCGAACTCCTGAGCTCAAACAATCCTAGGATTACAGGCGTGAGCCACCACGCCCGGCCTTTATTTGGTAGCTTTTAAAAGCACTCTTAGAAAATAGGTATCCCAAGTTTTAATTTGGGCAAGAAGAGTTTGGTGGAAAGGACAATGTTTCTGATTCAAGCACTTATTTCAGGTTGTAAAATTAATAAAACAGTGGCTTATTAATAAAACATAAATACTTAAGTCCAGTTCCCAAAGGCTATCAGTCAAAACAAAACAAAACTGAGCTGTTATATGCAAATTTCACTGCATTTAGTTTTCCTTCTTCCAGAGACGCAAGGGTATAGGGGTCAGGAAGGAAGCTCTGTGTTAATCTTATTGGAAGTTTTCTTAAACTGTTACCTTCTTTGTCTTTTTAGGGAGGATTTTTAAAAGAATAGTTACTGAATTAATGATACTGAAGACCTACAGCTAATTCCAGAACAGACAAAACTTTATTAAAACACACAAATCAATCACTCCATATTACCTTAGCAGCTGAATGAAATTAAAGATTTGTCTAAGCAGAAGAAAAAATTGAAATGTAAATATTTTCACTTCCTAATGGCCTCTAAGTAGACTGGGATGTGAGGATGCATTTCAGCTCCTTTAAGGCAAAACAAGCCTTAAAATAGAAGGTGCAAATGAAACTATACTTACTAATTTGCTGTTTATTTTTCTTTAGCATATCATTAATCATATTGAGGTCTTTGTTTATTACATGCACAAGGTTGTCAGAATGAAATCTTTACTCATCTTTTTCAAAGTTTAATTACACTACAGATATTCCTTACTAACCATTAATTTACTTGTTCATTATGATCAATTTAAACATTTTTAATTAAACTGTAAATTTATTTGAAATGCTCATATACAGCTTAGATTTTTTTTCCTGCTTGCTTGCGCTGTCTCTCTCATACAGCATGATACGATACTACATTTACAGTCATGTTTGTTATTAGCAAAACAATGATAGAATGTTAAGAACATAGGCACAAAAGTATGTGTGTACGTGGCCTTAGCTTAGTACCAACCTATGTAATATGGAGATTTATTCCTATCAAGTGGAACTTAGAATGCTAAACCTACACATGAAAATGTAGTTGATCACCATGCAATATGTGAACAAAAGACAAGAAAAGGCTAAGTAAATCATATTTGGATTTTAAAGTCAGCCCACGCTAAAAAATAAAATCTCAGTTCACTAAAAGATTGGTTAATTGCCATTTGATAAGAAACATTTTTTACATGTAAAAAGAAGTCTCTGTTATAAATACTTAAGAACTTTGGGGATCTAAGTTGTTTATTTGCTTGTTTGATTTGTAGCTCACTGTCTTGACAGCCTTTACTTTTTTTTTTTTTTTTTTTTGAGACAGAGTCTCACTCTGTTGCCCTGGCTAGAGTGCCATGGCGTCAGCCTCGCTCACAGCAACCTCAAACTCCTGGGCTCAAGCGATCCTTCTGCCTCAGCCTCCTGAGTAGCTGGGACTATAGGGATGCGCCACTATGTCCAGCTAATTTTTTCTATATATTTTTAGTTGTCTAGCTAATTTCTTTTTATTTTTTTAGTAGAAACAGGGTCTTGCTTTTGCTCAGGCTAGTCTCGAGTTCCTGAGCTCAAATGATCCGCCGGCCTTGGCCTCCCAGAGTGCTAGGATTATAGGCATGAGCCACCGGGCCTGGCTGCCTTTACATTTCTTTATAAAATAGTGTAGGTATATATCACTAATATGATGTAGCACACTAAAATTTTCTATAAACCAACTTTCTGGTCAGTGAATTTCTTCCCTCTTAACTTCTATTACATAATTGGAACTATATTTTGGTTCAAAAATGTACATAACATATTAATACTTTTAGCTCAAATACTTATGTTCTTCTCATCCCTAATTTAAACCTGAGATTCTAATTTTCATTTATACATTTAAGAATAGAATATTCCACAAGACATTTTGATCTTATCTCCTATATTCTACACCTAGGCTAAGCTCTCTTCCATTGTATGACAATTTCTTTCAGGTTCTTTTATAATAAGATCCTCAAGAAAAGTTTACAGTCTGCTAGTCTCATAAGCTATTCAGTTCCACCCAGGAGTTGACCAGAACCAACACTGAACCTCCCTAATTTGCTTCAGACTCCATTTGTGGATCAATCCTGATTTCTAGATCATATCATCTAACCCCTTGCCTCACCTCTGGGTTACAGGGTGGGTCTCACTCCCAGATCCAATGTTTCCTTCCACTACTCTGAGAGTTAGCTCACTTCTAGCACTTCACCATAAATTTTCTGCCACATCTGGCTTCATCTCAAGAACCTAACCCTAAAACAGTACAAGTAGTGGCTGATAGTTCCGTGGAGCTTCTCTGGTCCCCCAAAACTGGGAATTAGATGAGTGTCTGGCAACAACCCAAAATTCAGGCATATTGCTAAAGAGATGAAAACTCACCTCCGCTGCACATGACTCCAACTTGTGTCATGTTCAGTGTCAGAACATCACATGGCCATTCATATGAATTACTTCATTTAGTGTTTCCCAAACTTTATCACAATTTTTTGCGAAATCCAAGAAGCACAAATACTATTATTTGCTAATGTTTTCTTTAACCTTTTACAAACAACTTAACTAGATTTATTTTAAAGGAAACATTATATTGCTTTGGTAAGTGGAAAACGTTTCCAATTGATATACATAAAAGAAGACTTTAAAAACAAATACAATAGAAAAAACAACATTCTATTTAGGTTGCCTGTTAAAGATCTGAGCCCAAGCCCTACTCTCAATTTGTTAAAAAAGGAAGATTGGTAAGAATTGGACATATTATCATCAACCTAAGATTTTTCTACTTAGCATAATCAGAAAGATTAAAAGATACTGAAAAGAGTAAATTTTTCAAAGTGGAAAATTTTCATTGTTATTTTAATGTTACAGCTACCTAATATTACCTCATGTACCACCAGTCTACATGTCCCATACTTTGGGAAACTGGCTGACTTTAATTACCGTGTGTAATAATAATTATGATTACTTTAGTGAAAGTTATAGGAAGGACCTTAATGGCACACATGCCTCAGGGTATCAAGGCAAGCCATTGGAAGGTGAATT